TAGCCGTTTCGCAGAAAAAAATTAGCCGTTTTTAGCCGGTTTTGCTATTTGCCTTGTTTTGTTAAATTTCAAATATGTATATATGTTGCTGAGAGCTTATTTAAATTCCAAAAAACCGAATGCCAACCTGAATTAAAGGAACCAACACTGAAGTGAGTCAAAATGAAAATAAAAGAGCACAAATTTCTATGTAAAGCAAAACTCTCTGGGAATCCTACGAGACATCTGCCGGTCATATGACCGGTCATCTAAATGGGAGATCTGCAGTCTTTTGGCATCATATTTTACATCAGAATTTAAGGGATTTCTGAAAAATCTGACCAGTTCTTTGTGTAACTGTGATTTTGCATCCCTTGTCAACATATGGCCTCGGTTGATGTTAACTTTAGGTCGTTGTTTTACTGCCTTAAAATTGAAGGGAAATTTTTACAGCGTTTTTTATGTGTATCGGTTTATATTTGAATGTATTGAGAATCGGTCAGTCTGAAAAGGCCTTGTAGGGAAGACAATAGGTTTGTTCGTCGAAAATCCAGGGAGAATTATCACTCAAAATATCAGATAGTAAGAAAAATGCTCCCAAACTCTCTCTCAAGTAGAGAAGCCTCCAATTTTCTGTACGAACGCAAATTTGCAAGTTTTTCTGGCAGCTACTAGTGTCCACAGTTGCATTTCAAACAAAAGAAATTTGTATAGAATTTTTAAAATTCTTTCAGAGGGGCAAAAAAGAGGATCTACGTGTATTTATCTTGTCAGTCCGACTTTCTTCAACATACGTTTCAATTTCTTTGTCGGGTTTACTATATCGACTCTGGTTGAGATTGCATTCCGATAAGAATACAATTTTTTTTGCCGAGTACCTTGCAAATCAATGGAATTAACTGAATTAATTAAGTAAACAAGTATTAACTTACATTTTTCATTTTAAAATCGCTCAAGTTTGTAAATTTTTAAATTTAACGAACTTGTTTATTCAAATTATCGTCGACAAAAAATCCAACCATGTGCCACAATCATATGTTTTTCCTAATTGCAAATTCTTGCTGGCAAAATTTTTCCCGGTTCGAATTTGTAACTTCTCTCCAAGAAATAGTATTTTTAGTCGTGATTTATTTAAATGTGTAAGCGCCAATCTATAATTATTATTATTATGGGAGATGCCACGCCCCCTTTTTATATCGAAACTTTTTTTAGCCTGTAACCATCTTTGGAAAGTCTGCAGTAGATTTCGAAATTTCAAAAAAAATCGGTACGGCCTTTCTCGAGCATTGCGAACAGAAAAAAATGGTTTCAAAATATATACAGTATATTTTGCTTTGCTGCCTTTATGCTTAAGTGAACATTTAAGATATCTACCCCAAAATCCGCATCAGCGGTCCGGCATCCGGTTAAGTACTTTTTTCGGCTAAGTGCACAAGTTTTTCGTGCAAAGAAGGATGGGCAGCTAAGCAAAATATACTGTATTAGTATAGACCAGCCAATATATGCTTGCTTTGTGGCTTAAAACACTACTAACGATAAAAATCGATGGATAAATAAACAAGTTTGCAAGGGTTAAGTGAAAGTGCAATAATCTTTTGTATGAAATACTAGCAGGAAGTAATGTTACTCTTACGCCATATCGTATGTGACCGACCGTACTTATACATGGTGTATGAGTAACTTTTTTCATGTTAAAGTTTGAATTTTTTTCTTTTGTAATACAAACTTAAAATGAAAACAACATATACACAATTAAGTCAGTGCATTTTTATAGATACGCAGGGATTAGTCCAAGGGAACAGCTGTGCCCAAGGCGCCAACAGTCCGGATGTTCTTCACGGTTTCATCTGCCGCGAAGCGCGTTCGCGGTAGGATCTGGAAAATTTAACGGTTACCCTATAAACTGAACAGCTACAGTTTCTTAAAGTCCAATTAGTAATACTACTTAGGTATAAGTTATTTATTCAAGGCAGTTAGCAACCAAAAAATTTAACAAAGCTATTGCAATTCAAGAGTAAAAATTTCGTTTTATACATTTTTCGATTACTTGTTAAATTACTTTAAGGAATGGAATTCGAAAAAAATCAATTAAATTTTCATTTCAAAAATTTTCTTTCAAAGGAATTGGAAAAAAAATTACATCTTCATTTCCTTTCAAAGGTATTGAAAAAAAGTTACATTCCCAGCACGTAATTTATTCCAATTACAATAAGAAATTCCTTGTAATGGAATTTAAAAAAAAAACAATTATATTTGAAATTACTTCAAGAAATTGAGAAAGTAAACATTTCCTTTGCTATGAACTGAAGGAATTGATTCCTAATTACATTTACTGAGGAATGTAATTGTAATTGTAATGTAATTGCCTTTACCCAGCTCTGGTTGCAGGAACCCAATTGAAATATGTACATATATATATTAAAACAAGTAAGAGCAGTGCTGTCTTCGGATATGCCGAAGGCCTCATACCTTTCATGAGCATCTAAAAATTTTACCTAACAGATTACTGCATTGGAAAAAATTTGTATATTTACAGCATACATTAAATGTAAAAATCATATCTAAAAAAAAAAACAGAGATATTGAAGATATACCAAATATAGCACCAATCTAATTGATTTTCACTGCTGCGTGATCGGTATGTAAACCGGTAACACAATTTAATGGGTTTAGCTTCCTACATAAAGGAGATATATCGCAAAAACTGTTATCTTAACAATCAGTAGTATAGTATAAAGCTTACACAGCATAGATTTTGACGATTTTCTCAGTAGACTTTGTATTATTATTTATAAAATAGCTTACGAAATTTACCGGTTTTGGTTGTCCAAATAAAGGAGTTTTATGGTAAAATCCCATATCTGAACAATCAGTGGTATGGAGCCAATAAATAGGTTATCGTGACTCGATATTTGTTCATTTCATTGTAAAATGTAAAATTGTAAAACTTCTGTTGATAATGAGTGAATATAGTGTGAAATTTCATGTTTCTAGCTGCATAAATAAATGGAGAAGTTATAACAAAAAATCGCATATCTGAACAATCAGTTGTGTGGGAGCTATATGTAATAGTTACCCGATCTTTGCAATTTTCACTGTAAGTATTCTGTTAATAATGGGTGGAAATATTGCAAAATTTCATGTTCTCATAACTAAACAATCAGTTGTATGGGAGCTATAGGTTATAGTGACCGGATCTTTGTAATTTTCACTGTAGATATTCTGCTGATAATAGTTGGAAGTACTGCAAAATTTCATGTTCCTAGCTGCATAAATGGAGGAGTTATTACGAAAGATCTCTTATTTTAACAATCAGTTGTATGTGAGCTATATGTTATAGTGGTCCGATTCTTCCGGTTCCAACAAATACATTATAAAAATACACCCACCTACCAAATTTCATCCCGATATCTCGGAAACTGGGTGACAAGATTGCATACAAAGAGACGGACATACAGGCACACGGACAGACGGACGTGGCTAAATCGACACAGTTCGAAGTTCTGATCATTTAAGTATACATTTTAATTCTCTCTGTTCTTGTTCTGTTACTTACAAATATCGGACGAAAGTTATATTACCATTTGATGCTCATGAAAGGGATAAAAATATACTATAACGTTCTACAAACGAATGATATATGTACATATGTACATACAAATAAAAAATCTACCACGGGGTTTTATTTTCTGCTACGATCTTCACCCTCATTTTGGGCTGTTTTCTGAAGTAACCTATAACCTTAAAGCTCACTTTATATTTAAAGGTCGGATTAAAAATAAAGCTATGTCTAAACTTAAGAATTTCTATTATCGGTTTTTGACGAACGTATGTTTCTTGGTTGTAAATCAATTTAAAACCTATAATAAAATGTTCTATTTTAGACACAATCATACCTTTTAATAGTCATATATAGTTCCTTTGTTTGCATTTATTTTTATTTCTGCTTCGTGAATTTGCATTTCAAATTCCTAAAATTAATTTACTACCTACATACGTAAATATGTGAGTGAAATTACTTTAGTAATATACATAGTAGGCTTTGCAACTAATATGACTTTATTCTATTGGCTCTAATTTAGAAAACATCACGTTGAGTGCTATCCCATGCCGAACGCCCTCAACCCATGTGAAGATGTTATGGGCTACCAATGGCTGCGCATTTCGGTCTGGATTGTTGTTGCTCTGGCTGTGGTGGGAAATGTTGCGGTACTTGTTGTGATTCTATCGATTAGGTAAGTGTATACAATGTATCATATCGTCCTGTTTCTGCCTCAACCTCGTATCTGCAATAGAGGTATTTTAGAGAGTGTAAGAGAAAATGCTTAATTTCTTCCCCTAGGATACAATAAACGCATTTTTACTTAATATTTCTAGTTCCACTAACAGAAGTGAGCACCCTCATTAAGTCTTTGTTCTATTTTAAAATAGTGTATCGCTTAAACAGCTGTTGTAAGTGGTAATATTAGTTTTCCCAAAAATTGTAGATACGTGGTTAAGGCAGAAACGGGACGATATGTGGTATGTACATATATACCTACGTATAAAATTCGGAAAGCTGCATAACATGCATGCCCATGTATGTACACATACAAACATATTAGGGTATTCACGATCAGGTGCATACTGTCTAGCATGGTGCATAGATAGTATAAATAGCATGATTGTTGTTGTTTCATGTGTTCAAACAACAACAAAATTAGCCAATCATGCTATTTATGCTAGTTATGCACTATGCTAGATAGTACGCACCGGATCGTGAATACCCCTATTCTGTTTATATCCAGGGGGATTCAAAACTGCGTACAGATATTTGGCGTACGTATTCCTCGAACCATAACAAACCAAAAGTGTTAGGCGGCATTTTACCCCCGGGGCTTATTTACTGAGTTACGACTAGCTGAAGATAAATCGATTAAGCATTGATTTTTGGCTTATTTTGAGCAAAACTTTTTATGTACAAACATAAAGTGCGTTTAGATATAAAGATAATCTCAGTCAAAGCTCGTTTTTTAATCATCCTGTTTACACATCCAAATCTCAGATTAGGAAAAGTTGTTTTTTCTCTGTGCCACTGCGATCACTTTTTTCTGCTATATTAAGCAATTTAAATACATATATGTACTTTAACTTAATATTTTTCTTCTTTTCCTTGCTAGCGTCCATTTTTGTTTACTTTTATTACAGATTAACGAGGGGCCAGTTCTGTGTGGCTAATCTCTTTTTCTAATTACAGATTATGGAGTTAAGCTCGAAAATGGGGATAATATACATATATGTAGTATTACGCGAAAATATTACCCCAAATTACCAAAAAAAAAATATATATATGATTTCAATGCCTTGATCGATTTATATTGAACTGGCCCTTACTCAGTAAATAGACCCCGGGTAGAAAAATTTCCCTTAACCTATTTTTGTTTGGAGTACGATTGGCAAATATTTTACGGCACCCTGAAATTGTACATATGGAAACCTTGCATAAATACGAAATAATGCGTATGAAACAAGACGAAATAATGCTTACGAAAGAAAATCGAAATAATGCATATATGCACAGTTTCGGTTGAAACCCGAAATAAAGCATATATGCACAGTTTCGGTTGAAAACCGCAATAATGCATATTAGAAAAAACCGAAATTATGCATATGCATTATGCATGAAAATCGAAATAAGGCATATAACAAAACCGAAGGAATGCATAAAAGAAAAACGAAGTAATGCATACATGCACAGTTTCGGTTCAAAACCGAAATAATGCATATGACGAAAATCGAAATAGCGCATATGTTCTTTCTGCGTAGGCGGCCTTCGGCCGCGCTTAGGGATTATAACCTTTACCAAGTAGAGTTCTCCTTTCTGCATTGCTGGAAAATGATGGCGAAAGTATTTCTGCGCAGAACTTCTTTCTGCGTAGGCGGCCTTCTGCGTGCGGCATAAAATTGTAACCCTCACTAAGTGGAATTCTCCTTTCTGTGTTGCCGGAAAAGGGGGAGGAAGTATTTTTGCGCGTTGTTCAAACAGGCCAGTTAGCTGAGGCAATTAAGCTTTAAATTGCGGAATTGAGTTTTGTGTTCACATACGAAGTCAGCTGCTGGATTACCTACAGTGATGGAAAAGTTGGTACAATTGTACCTTTATTTAGTTTGAAAGTGCATTCGGTACAAACACACAATTTTAGGTACTTCTCAGGAAATCAGTTCTTATTTTTATTGACATTTCAATGCATTTTCTGTTGCGGGCAACTGGCCCAATTCCTTCCCTCCTTTGTGAAGAGGCATACAAATGATACAAAAAGGTGGTCAAAGTAACGCAACATAGTTGATTTCGCCAGATAGACGGAACATATTTTTAAACGTCAGATCGGAGAACTGGGAGGAAATTAATTCACGTTTTCTAGAACATAGTTTTGTCTCGCGCTGCTCGAAGAGATTCTCTTCATAGCCAAAATTTGTTTAATGTGAGTACAGAAGTTGATGTGGTATCGATGGGAATTTTTATCCTCCTATCTTCTTTATATAGAAATACATATTTACTTTTCGGGTACATCTATCCACTTTTAGATAAAGCTTTCCGTAAATTAGGTACAATTTTATAATTAAATTTTCCATCCCTGATGGAATATCAGCTGTAAAAGAGGGACAGAAACAAAGAGCTGATTGCTCTTTGTTCAATAAACATACCTCCAAGTCAAAATCAAACATACCTAGCAGGGATGCATAGAGAATCCGTCACAAATTAATTGCCAATTAATAATTAATTGGCAATTAATAAATTGATTTTTTGTATGACAAATTGGGTAGCAATTAAGGCTTAAATTGATGAAAAGGTTCTTAATTGCCAATTAGGCCCCTGTTTGAACATAGTCTTAGATAAAAACATAATTATATGCACACTTTCGTTTGAAAACCGAAATAATCCATATGTATGTGAAAAACGAAGTAAAGCATATCTGCACAGTTTCGGTTCAAAACCGAAATAATGCATATGACAAAAACCGAAATAAAGCATACATGCACAGTTTGGGTTGAAACCGAAGTAATGTCTAAATGCACAGTTTCCATATACGCAATTTCGGTGCCCCATATTTTACGCAGTTTTGAATCACTCCGTATACACTAGTGAGAGAATTCATTACTGAAAAGGAAGTGAGTTAGTAGGTAATAGGTTGTGGGGCAAGCATCGAAAACATTGAATTATAAGGACGCAATATATTCTCATTTTCGTTGTTGGTGTTTCCGATTGGGAAGGAATATGATGTATTGAGGAACGATTTTCCGTCATACGCACTATAATTATATCTATGTATGTGCGCTAAAACCATAATTTAGGTTTCTTGTTGTCCTGCTTTAAATTTTAAACTGAAAAAGAAAGAGTTGGCAATAGGTTATGTATAGAAAAACAAGAGAACTTCCACTTTAAAAGTGGAGTTTATTTAAGCTAGGATTAAGCAAGTACTAAGTTAAATTTTGCATTGCTTTGATATATGTATTATAACAGATATGTTAATATTTTTCATACGCTTTGCTTACCCTGAGAATCATGTACCGTTTTGGTACTGGCACCACGGTTACCACATTTGGTCACTTGTGACCAAAATAGGTAACTTTTTGAGAGCTTGCCCAGCAAAAAACACGATTACCACAGAAACGAAAGTGGAAACGAGCTAGGCGATGGGAATCGCTTACCCTTTCGCTTCAAGAAGGCCTTATTTTAACATGGGCATGTCATTGGAGGTAAGCCCTTACCCGCAGCATTACCTTCAAACGAAGGGAGAACGCATGGATAAACAGAATCCAGAGAAGCGAACAAAGAATGCCTTACAGAGAAACTAATGTAGAATGCCTAGATAAGTACATACTTATTTATATTAAATTGAAATCAGAAAATGTCTTAAAAGATTAAAATTAATTAAAATTTTTATAAATCAGCTTTTATACATACATATGTATTTTTTTAGGTATTTAGATTTTCTTAAAAATCGGTATGTACATACATGCATATTTAACTAAGCTTAAAATTATACTTCCTCACTCTTGTACTTCACTTCATTGACTGACTTAAACTTCGCGGCAAATTGAACAAAGCAAAACATGATTTTTATGCGAGACAAATTTCCACAGAAAGTAACGGTAGAAAAAGAATTTTTGGGTATTCATTCTATTTTTCAGCTGACTACGATGCAGCATTCTACTTTGCATTCTCCGAAATGAAGCAAAGAAGCGAAATAAAAAAAAATATTGTAGGACATTCTACTTTGCATTCCCTGAAATGAAGCAAAGAAGCGAGACAAATAAAATATTGTAGGACATTCTACTTTGCATTTCCGGAAATGAAGCAAAGAAACGAATTAGAAAGAAATATTATAGGACATTCTACTTTGCATTCCCCGAAATCAAACAAAGAAGCGAAATAAATAAAATATTGTTGGACATTCTACTTAGCATTACCGGCAATGCCTAAAAGAAGCGGAAGAATTCGAAGGCATTATAACGCTATGCCTTCTAGAAGACGTTACCACTAAAAGCGATTACCGATTTTTTGCAGGGTGGTAACTTTGCAACTTTTTTTTTATTTTGGTAACTTATGGTAAGTTTGCCGTGTATAAAGTTAGACTAAAAATGTTGGACTAAATTTGATAAATTGTACTGTGGTTGTGTGTAGCGGTGATAACACTACTAGAAACAATTGCAATGATCAGGCAATACAGCGCACAAGAAAAATAACACGGTGCTGCAAAAAAAAGTCATGAAATACACCCGAAACAAAACCTAGGGCAGGTTGTAGGTATGGTCGAGTACAACATGAACCCTCAATTTTTTTATACCAAAAAACCGTTATTTTCGTACATGATGCACTTATCTATTAAATGCTTGACTATTTTCCATCCGATTTTAAAAATCGAACAAGTTTTGAAAAGACGACTTATAGACATTTAAAACGATGTATAACAATATATTGTAAGACTTAGCTAGTTTTTCATCGGTTAAATTTTAATGAGCCTCTCTTTTTCTTTATTTTTTGAATTTTGATCATCGCTTATTTCAAAAATGGCTACAAAAGTTGCCAGATATGTGTTATTTGTCAAAAGAACATTTATTTTCGAATAAATTGATTCTTCATCCAATGTAATTGCATACAAATTGTCGAAGTTTAGCAGTTTAAGTAAAAATATGGACTTGAATTTATATGTGTGTATGTACCGGACGTGCAGATTTTTCGGGCAGTGTGGCT